CTCTTTCTCTCTCTCTCGTTACTGATTTCCTCGAGAGAGGGACAAAGGGCGAGGAGTGCAAAGGACGCGGCGGATCGCCGCTGCAACCTATCTACGTACGTATGTACGTACGTACATAAGCGGGGAAGTGTGTATTGTGAGGTTAGGTCACGGCTCTCTCCACCAGAGCGCCAGCGCGATTCCGTGTTTCGCGTTTCGCCGCGGGTCCCTGGGAAATTGTGCACCTGCCATCCTTCCGCTGAAACGAGCAGACGACGGTGGCGGCGGCGGAGCAGCAGCAGCAGCAGCAGCGCGCGGTTTCACTCTGCTCTCTCGTCTCTCCACCGCCCTACGCCCTTCTCGCTGCCCTGCGCTCTTCAGCCCGCCGCCAGCAGCCATATACGGGGGGAGGCTTCTTCGTCTCGCCGCCTCTTTCGCTTCTCCAACGATTCTCCACGTCCTCCCTCTTCCCCTTTGCGCCCGCCTGGTATTAATTAATATAACTGGATACATCTGTTAAATTCCGAATTACGAGCTCTCATAACACACGCACACACACACACACACACACACAATACGACGAGGTGCGGAGCCTGCGGCTAGACAAAACTTATTCCGTGTATTTTATTTGAATTTTTTTCAGGCTCTGAATTTTTTTGTTTCACACAGAGACTTCAGGAGTTTTAGAATTTTTTTTTTTTATTCTCGAAATTTTCTCGACTTTCGGTTTGTTCGGCGCTCTTTTTTTCTTTCGCGAATATTTTACGCATTTACCAAAACTTCGATTCTCTCGAGATAAAATATAATCTCTCGAGCGCATATATGTATATGCAATATCGCGTTCGCTGCCGCGCCGGACTTTCCCACATTGTGCTTTTGCTAGCTTCGGTTTACGATCTCGCAGGGAGCATCTCGCGTGAACGCGTGAGGAGACGGATGGGGAGGAAGATATGTGTGTAAGAAGAGAAGAGAGAGAGGAAGAAAAAGACGACGCGCGACGGCCGGTCTCTCTCAGGCTTCCTGTACGTAGAACAAAGAGAGAACGCGCGCGGGTTTTACGCGCGCACACAAACGTCACCACGCGTTGACCTCACCACCGCCCTACGTCAGGTTTCGTAGAGCAGAAAATGTTTGTTTAAGTAAGCCCGGAGTCGAGAAACTCTTTTTTACTCTTGCTCTTTTACTCTCGCTCGGAATTGATGATTGCGCCCGCGCACCGCTAATATGGCCACAACGGTTACGCGCAACAGAGAGAAGCGCGGAAAGAAAAAAAAAAGAAAAAGGAGAAGAAAAAGAAGAAGACGACTCGATGACGCGCGCTATGCAGAGGCGCGCACCGTGCGAAGGGAGATTTTGTAATCCCGAAATACGTACATAATCGAGAGAGATCGCCGAGAAATAAGGGGATTCTCGCGAGCTCGCGAATCTCAATGGAATTTTGACACGCCTCTTTTCTTTGAACTTCTTCTTTAACCCATTTGCATCATAAGCGCATATATGTGCGCGCATTTTGCCTGGCCACTATCACCAGAGCGCATATATGCGCGCATTTTACTTAGGCATTTATCACCAAAACGCGTATTATTTATACCAGGCCTGTCCACCGATGGGGCCCCTCACGCACTTTATTTCCCTTCTACGCTCTTAGACAGCTCTCTCTCTCTCTTTTTTATTTTCTGTATTATTATTTTTATTTTCTTTATCTTTCTGTTTATCATGTATGTATTTTTTTGTCTTTTTCTTTTTATCATGTATTTTATTGTTCTTTATTGTATCTTACTGGCGCTTCTTGACGCTTTAGGGAATATTATCCCAGAGCGCCTTTATACAAATAAAGCAATCAATCAATCTCTCTTCCCCTTGTCTTATCCGCTATCTGTGTACCAAACAATTTTGGTGATAAGAATGAATTTTTGACTTTTCTTTGTGATGCAAATGGATTAAACTCTCTATGGGCCCATGTAACTTTAAAGTCACAAGCTAATATATTCACATTTTCCACCAAATAATTTTAGTTTTTTTCACAAGATGATGTATACGTCTTAATTATATAATGCCTCCCTGAGATAACCAATAACAATATTAATGACGGTTGACAGCACCGTCAACCTGAAATGTCAAAATAAATACCTTGCAAGTTATATTTAAGAAAAAAATTCGGCACATAGAGGGTTAAACTACAAGAAAAAATTTAATTGTGTTGTTGGATCGCGCTTGTTGGATTCAATTGTTTTTATAAAAAAAAAAAAAAACAATTGAGAATTTGAGTTTTTCGCAATATTTTTTTATTCTACGAAGAAGAAAAAATATATCACACATTAGCGACTTCGGGTACACACAGAAGATATCGTGAAATATTTGCCGTAGAGATAAAGGAACGAGAGAGGGGTTGCTCGATTGACTTTCTCACCCTCGAATCGCGGTTTTCTATAAGTACGCGGATGGATTCCGTGTGTTTGCGCGGATTATTGGAAAGTCAATAACGGCGCGGACGGTTTGCGGGCGCGGTGCAAATAGCTGTTTAAACACACGCTTCGTTTCGTGTTCTCGCTCTTAATCGGATATTGGGGTATCTCGAGAGTAATAAGATATATTAACGATTAATGATGATTTGTGAATTCACACGAAATCGACGAAATATTTTAACGCACACACGCGCTAATTTCGCGTTTTCCCGCGATGTTATTTTGCAGTTAAACAACGTTTTTGCGCGAAGAAGCACGTTTCTGTGCTTCGAACTGTCGCGGGGATTTTTAGAACCTCCGTTTGCGGCCGTTTGTAAACGTTACATTTCGCAAACGAGCCCGGCGACCACCGGTGGCGGTTTTGGCCGCCGCCCCGGGGCTGTACTTTACAACCCCATCTGCCGAAACACGTGCTCCGGATCAGGAAGGCTCAGACCGGACCGTTCTCTCACGTTTTACTTTGCCGAGAGATAAGTACTTGATAGAGCTTTCGACGAAAGTGCCTGTGTTAACCCGCTATCGGTTTGCCTGCTCTTCTCGAGGTAGAAAAAACGTCGAAGAAAATCTCCTTCTTGTAAGCGTCAAACCTATTTCAATTCTTTTGCTTAAACTGACGTGGTACATCGAGAAATCCGAAGTATTTTTCTGTCCGGGCTCGCTCCGGAAACGCTCTGTCCTTTGAGTTTTCAAAGTCGCGTCTTACGTTCCGCTGGGTGGTCTCCGATGGGTTCTCTAGAGATATTTCAGAAATTCTCCCTGATCCCGTGACTCTTACACGCCCCCCCCCCACCCTTCTCGTGTGTTTGATCGTTAACGCATCCCGTCACAAAATTTTACACACGTAAAATACCGTACATGCCGAGAGAACGCGGATATAATATTTTTTAATAGTTCTAAGAAAAAAAAACCTATGTTTAAAACATCGAAAAACTTTAAAAAAAAAAAAAAACTGCACTGTTTCCCAAAATATCTCGTCACGCGAGACATCCTGTAATATTAGAATCCTTGTGCGTTTATTATAGCATATTTTGTACACTTAAATATTTTTTATTTCTTTTCTGATCTCCAACCGACACATCGACCAACAAAATATGGTTCACACATGTGCGGGGAAAACCAACATGGAAGACAAAAATTTTAATGGTCGGTTGTTATCTCTTTTTTTTTTTATTTGGTTATCTTTTGTTGTCTTTGTTGCGGTAATCATCTTTCCCGCTTGAAAACTGGCGACACGTAGGAGCCTATGGGGAAATTGTGATTACGTCTCGTGTTGCAATTGGAAGAACGCATTCTTCAAACGAAACAAAGTTTATTTTCGGATCGCGTAGCTAAAATTAATCGCCGGTTGTTACGGATCGGGATGAATATGCGGATGTGTCAAAGAGAGCAAGCGAATGTGCAGATTCGCGCGATAAATCCCGCGGGAATGCCGATTCGGTTTGGTGGGTCTGGTGAGGCGCATAAACGTTTCCGCTCCCACATTGCGAGAGAGACGTACGACACATTAATCTATCGAGAAATTCCGCGAAACCTCGAGCACCGCCGCGTTTCAACCCCCCCCCCGTCGCAACAATTTTCGTCGGAATTTGCGCGAAGATGTTCGTCGTGACATCTGTCTCACGCAAAAGCGAACGCGCGGAATTAACGCGCGGATTTAATCACGTAATTTTTATCGAGTAATCACGCGCCGTGTTCGCGAAAACTTAAATAAAGAAAATACTTGCGCGGAAATATACTTGCGCGAAAATGGCGTGGAAAATTTGTGTTTTCTAGAAAAACGGTGTTTTTTTTCCCCCCGGCACATTTTTGAAATAATACAAGTGTCAAAAGACTAGAGATAAAAAATTAATCAAACGGACTTTGTTGACACGCAAAAACATGAAAAACTGCCGCGGAATTCTTACGCGTCTTTCAATATTGTTTTATTTATCGTCAAATAAAACACAAAATAAAAAAACGTTAAACAATAAATATAAATGTTAAAATAAAACGCGCGCGATTCGATTATCTTGAGCAAAGTTGGGTTGCAGTTGATGTGCAACCAACCCCCCGTTCGATGGGGGGCGCGAACAATTAAACGCCGCGCGTCGAGTTATTTTCGCTCCTACTTAGCTTATTTTCACAGCGCGCGATCATCAATATATTTCCGTTCCCCTCTTCCCCCCATCCCTCTCGATTTAGTTCGCGCGCTTGATAAGTACAAATATAAAACCATATTTCGCGTTTCCGAAAACACGATGTGTCACGCAATAAACAGTCGACAGACGTTTTCACTAATAATACTTTTGCCAACCAAACGGGCGTTGTTCGTGCAAATAGAAAACGCATAATGACCGCGGCGGCCGTGATGCAACAACGACGAACAATTTCAGTTGAGTGTGTGTGAGTGGAAAGAAAGACAAAACATTATTCCAGACTTTTGCGTTTATTTTTCGTGTGCGATTCGTAGTGGTTATCCTACGTATATAATATATATTTATATATATATATAGTATAATAATAATAATAATAATAATAATATATATATCAATAAGTTTTGCATATTTATAGTTTTATTATACATGTATATCCCATTCTATACAGTATATGTTGTGATCTATATTTATATGTGTCCTGTATATAATATACATGCAGAAGTTCATCGTCTGCCTACATTTTGCTTGAATTCGAAAAGCGATGAACGCTAAATAATAATAATATTCACATGATCCGTATTCATCTATCTATATATATATATAATCACCCTCAAGCTCTCGTCGAACGTGTGTGTGTGTGTGTGTGTGTGTGTGTGCTTACATACGCGCGAATCTTCCTCGGCCGCCAACAACGTTTCCTCATTTTTTTTTTTATTTTTTTTTTTTTTGTTTTTATCACGTGATTAAATGCACAAGAACGAAGTGCAAACTTACGAGAAGAAAGTACGATATCACACTATTAATCGTTTTACTAACACTAGAGTCAGCGTAGCTTTTCTTTTTTTTTTTTTATACAATGCTACAGTATTTCTCATCTCTCTTTTGTCGTCGTGCGTCTCAAAACACGTTAAGTGCCACGCTAATCACTCAAGGATCGATGACGATCTTATGGACGTTTCCCGAAAAGAAATAATGCCAACGCTTCTTCTTCTCGTTGTAACAAAGTATTCGACATGCGGTTACCAAAAGTAACGCGTGGAAAAAAAACAGTTGAGAGAGTTAATTTGTGCGTGCAAACTTTTTGAAAAAAACAACTCTTAAGTCACAGCGTGACAGTCAGCGTGTTAAAAATTGAAAACCAAAAGCGAGAACCTAAAAAAAAAAAAGTCAGCCAAACGACCACATCGAAGAAACGAGAAGAACACGTACAAATTTTTTTTTTCTTTTTTTGTTCCGACATACTCTGTATATATATATATTATATATATGTACACAGTTTTATTAATTATTTATTTTTTTTTTCTTTACATTACGGTCGCGTCGCTACCGAGACGCTTGAAATCACACAATTATTCGTTTTATTTATTTATTAAAATTTTTTTGTTACTATATATATATACACAGAATTCACGTAATGTCTCGCAATTAATTATTTAAAAACTGCGATGCGTGATCTCTCGTTCGCAACTTTCGTATACGTAAAAAGCAATTTTTAATAAAAATGTCATTATTTGAGATTTTACTACAGAACCGACTGTGTGCGACAATCAATCACTAAGTCGCTACGTAAGGTGTCATCATGGTTGCGTCAAAGAAGTGTGCTTTCTTATCGCGCAAAATTGAAAATATTACATGATCTCACCTCTAAATATTTCTTTACAGATACAAAAAAAAAAAAAACAAAAAACAAAAACAATCTAAGTGATAAAACTGCGCGAGTAGTAGTTTCCGAGTAACTTGCTCAGACGTGATCGTTACGTGTTTATCTGTGAAATGACGTCGTCGTGCGAACATTTTTGTGCGAAATAAATTACCGACCGACAGAAAAATGCGCGAGCGCATCTCGGAAATCGGAAAATATTCGACGCTCGTGGCAAACGAAAACTTTTTTTTTCATTCGCGCGTGTTCGGGAACGCATCCTGAACGGAAAGAACGAAACGGAGAAAACATGATTGCAAAGTGTTGCAATCGCGTAAAATTATGTGTGTGAGTCGTCGGTGATAAATACAATACTCCCCCGCGCGGAGTCTCCCGAGAAGTCGCACGCGCGACGGAATCTGAAAGACCAAACGATTCCTCCGGCCAATGACTTTAATTCGTCTTCTCGTAATAACGATCATCTGTCGGAGACAGACGATCGGTAAACAGAAAGAGACGCGACGCTATTTTCGACGCCGATAATCGCGCACGATTTACGGCGGTTTGCACAGATGTGAGCGGGAAAAAACGCGGCGCGGTGAAAAACAAAAAAACAAAAAACAAAAAAAAAAAAAATCGTCAGGTAGGTCAGTGACAGAGGAGACTCCGCGAGATGTTTGCGCAAGTGAGAACGCTGATTGTGTGTGCGCTGAAATTCGAGAAATTTGTTTCCTCTTCCCGGAGACGCGCGTTTCCCTCTCATTCGTCATTATAACAAGTCGAGGCTTTTTTTTTTTTAATGCGAAAACGAGGAGAAAAACTTTGTCGAAAAAATCGACGTTCGGAGAATGATTAACCTTTTCAACAAGCGAAAAAACGGATTTAAAGCTTCTGAATACACTTGGATGCAACGCTACACAGTGAGTTTAACAATAATAACGTTAAGTCAATAACGCTGGATCAGAGCGAAATCACACGGATCTTCTTGTCACATGCAATTTATATCGAAATAAACTATTTGGATTTTTTTTTTCTCTTCAATCGATGCCGTCGATCGAGATATGCAGCACAGATTGATTCGCTATAAATATTGCAATAGACTAATAATTGTCCCTACTGTGACCCCGGATAAATTCTCTACGCAATCGAATACGACACGCGGGCAGATTTACGCTATTTGTTGTTGTTGTTGTTGTTGTTGTTCTTTCTTTTTCTTTACCGGATCTCTCAACGACGCGTCTTAATTCCACTCTTTGGCGAGTTCGTCCGTCGACGGGATCCATTCCTGCTTCACGTAAACCAAACCCGGATCGTAATGGTCGCCGTGATGATCTTCAAGGTCCCGTTGGTGGGACCTTGAATTCCGATATTCTCAGTATTTGTGCAACGATATAGGTATGTTCCCACTGGTATTGACGGCGTTGCAGTCTTGATAATAGACCCTGGGATAAAGCGGAGGCGATGGCGCGGCACCCGTCGAAAGCGGCGTCGGCGGACTGGACCTGCAACAAATCCAACAATTGTTCTCTGAAGACTCGGATCTCTCGTCGAAATCTTGTTTTATTTTTTATGCGACTTATTGAGTTAGGTAACTCAATGATATTGTTATTGACAGCACGAGCAAAGGGACTATCGAATCGTAATATAATATGTAGAATTGTTAAAAATAAAGCAACGTACTTTCATACTTTCGTACACCGAGCTTTCGCCGCGATTTATTCGGAGAAAGTTCACGAGAGAAAGTCAATCGGACGCATCTCTTTGTAAATTATATATATATAGATTAAAAACATATAAGATTTTAAAAATTTATACGTGTTATACGTGTCGGAAGATCTAATATTCTACGACGCACAAATTTGAATGTCATTTATCAGATTATTATGATTTATGTTGTGTGATAGAAAGATTATAATGTTTTAATGTTGTGATAATAGAGAACAAAATGACTTATTTATCTTTGTACTCGTTATCAAGCGATAAAAAAGTTCTTACATTCAAGCGAAAGATATCGTTATCTTCGAAATGGAAATTCGACCGCTGTTGATAATTTACCTGTAAAGCTGGCAACTGGGCGATTGGGTGTCCTGATAAATCGCCGTGTCGGGACTGGCCGCGTCTTGATACCACTGCGAGTGTCCCACGTTGTTTACGTGACTCCTCGCGGAGTTGTACTCGTGATCCATGATGGCGTATCCGGCGGCCGCCGGCGCGCAATACGGCGTGTACATACTGCCAGGCGGTGAGGTATTTCCACGGGAAACCGTGCTGTTGTGCCCGTAACCGGTTGTGGCCATCATCGCCGCAACCGCGGCCGTTGTCGTGGTCGTGGTTGTGCACGCGGACGACAGATCCCTGCTTCCGCTACCCATCGACTCTCTGCTGCTCATGATGGTGTGCGGATGCTGAAGCCCGTGCGGATGGTGCGGATGATGCTGATTGTCGCGCGCAATCAGACCGGCGCTGTTGTCCCGCGTGGTCATTAACGCGTCCACGCTGAAGCTCGCGGGATCCAAACCGGCCATCGACACGTCCTGAATGCCGTCCTGAGCGATCTGATGCACCTGATGCACCTGATGGCTCAGAGCGGTCTGAATGACGCTCTGTCCGGGCGCCGTCACAGCCACCGTCGTCGTCTTCGTGTCCTGAATTGGACTGTGCAGACCGTACTTGCTTGCCTGCACCGCCATGCAGTGATTGCCGCCGGTGTGATCGTTCACCGGTTCACGTTTCGGTTTGCATAGACCGGCGGTTGTCTCCAACGTGCCGAGTTTCTTCGCAGGCGCGTCCGACGGCGGCGGTAACGCGACCTGAGCGTTGCCGGGTTTGGTGTCTTCCTGACGCTTTTCCGGTACGAGACCCTGTCGTTTCAACGCCTCTTCTTTCTCCTTGATCGCGTCCTTCTTCTTAAAACGTCGCCGACGTCTCAGATAAGAACCGTTGTCGAACATGTTGTAACTGTCCGGATCGAGGGACCAGTAGCTACCTTTGCCCGGCTTCTTGTCGTCGCGCGGCACTTTGACGAAACATTCGTTCAGACTGAGATTATGTCGAATCGAATTCTGCCACCCTTGTTTGTTCTCGCGATAATACGGAAATCGATCCATGATAAACTGATAAATACCGTTTAACGTGATCTTCTTGTCGGGCGCGTTTTGTATCGCCATCGCAATTAGAGCGATATACGAGTAGGGCGGTTTAACCATGTCCTTGCCGGCGTGATGGATGTGTTGCTGACCGAGACCCGACACCGGATACGCGGTAGTAGCGTAACCACCGTAACGATATTGTTCGTAATAGCCTGTGGCCGAACCGACACCCGAATACGACGGCGCGCCCATTGCGACTGGCATCGTTGTCGCATGTCGATAATACGCGTTTTGTTCACTGAAGAGCGCGTGCATCTTTTTGTATATTTCCGTCCCCGTACACACAAATTATTTTACGAGAAATTCAGTTAAGGACTTAAAAATTCCTTCCCCGTCCTTTTGACTAGACTAGAAAGAAAGATTTGTTGTTTCCTTTTTCGAAACGTTTATACTCTCTCTCTTTCTCTCTCTCTCCCCCTCGAGAAAAGGATCGTATTGTGTTCTCTCGAAAGAGGAATCGAGTGCGAAAAATTTTTTTGTGAATGGAAAGGATTATATTTCAGAATATATTAAAAAAAGAAGGAACATTTTTTTTTTTCATTTGTAACCGCATTTGCACAAGTGCGATGAAACGAACTTATGATTGATGGCTTTCTCCGAAGAATTTCCGGGAACGGCCCTTCTCTTCTCTTGTTTCGTATATTTTCCGCTACCTGATGATTAATGACTACAAAATAGCTTCAGATTGTGACGCCTCGTGCTTGTGTGGTTTTTGTATTTTACTACGTAAATTTTAACATTTATAAGTGTTCTTTACACCAATCTCGCTCCAGATTATTTATATAGAACTATTTTTTATTTATAGAATTATTTATTTCTTCTTTCTCTCTCTTTTATGGATAATTAAATCATATTTCCACTTTTCTTGCTTTACACTCGATCTCTCGTTGATACTTTGCGCTCAAGTAAATGATTAAAAATTGTTACTTATAACAAATTATATTTTTTGTCTTCCCGATCAAATGTGTAACATCCGTCGCCGAAACGAAAAAGTCGCAACAACACTCGTTTCGGATTTTCACTCTGAACACTTGGAGCACGCGCACTTGTCACTGCATCGCTCGATCCTCTCAAAGAGATATCTCCGCTCCGTGACCGGATCGAACGATTGATCCTCCGAATGCGATCATGCGCGTCTGATAAAAACATCACCGTCGTCGCTCGTCATCGTCGGCGAATTCACACAGCACGCCCCGCGAGTGGAGTTACTCTGCTCCTGAATGACGAGTTATATTTTGTTGACCGTAACCCCCGGAAATCTCTTTCGAGACACGCGGAAGAGACGCGGACAGGTGTACGAAGGCCACGACGAAGGCGCGTAGGCAGGCAGGCAGGAGACGCGAAAGGTGCATTCAGTTGATTCGGGCGCGCGACTCGTAACCGCTAACGCAAGACGCACGCTAACCCCGTTAGCACCCGCGTGTGCACGCCGCGCGGTATTATGATACACAACAGGCCGGAGTTTACTCAACTCCGAGTAAAAACACACTGCGAGCTCGATGTCGCGCGCTGCTCCGCGTTCTCGGAGCGGACCCCCGAGAGACGGCTGCGCCGCCGTTCCTACGTTTCCGAAAAATCACGAGGTCTTCGTAAGTCTCGTACGATTATTGGTCGCGCGTTTGTTCGTGGCTCCTCCCACACCGCGCGGCCAATCCGCAACGCGCGACGAACGCCGTGACGACCGTCCGCCCCGGTCGTCGCCCTGCCAATGATCGCGCCGCAGTCGTTCGCGCGGTCACGCCCTCGACACCTCACGCAGGGTCGTCCCCGGGAGGGTTGAAATTCACCAGGGCCCCAAAGCACACACCAACGACGCGCCGAAAATTTTTCCGCGGCCGTCGGATACTTTTACGTGATAGCCATAGGCGGGCGAGAGTTCGGGGGATTAAGGTGGTGATCTCTCTCGATGCGGGTTTTACTTATTTCTCGAAATATAACGAAAAACGGCGTTACATTAACAAGCGAGAGTGATAGTTGAAGGTGTGTCTGTCAGAGAGGTCGAGGGAAAGTGTCAAGGATGGATTTTAGGGTGACAGTGAACAAGAAACGATACCGGACGGCCGTGTGATTCTGATTTTACGGTACTGGAGTAAAAGAAGAGGCGCGATAGAGGCCGTCACGTGTCAGAAATGTTTTTGTCGCGTAAAAAGTTTTCACGTTTCTCTCTTTTTCGTCAACTTATTAAGTTTTTTTAACAAGAGATGTTATATTATTACGGTACGAAAGGTCAAATCGGATTGAAATCAAAGATACTACTCGGCGTTGCGCAAGTGAAATTCGCTAATTGTGAAATATTTTTGGTCTACATGACATTTGTAGCGCACGTGCGGCATACCCTATGTTTTTACATTCTTGATTGATTAAAAATTGAAACAATTAAATTGATTAATTATAAATTTGCTTGATACAATCGTACACGTGTTGGAAAAGATCGTCGATTTGTAATCAAAAAAATCGATCGTTGTATCGTCGATTGATGCACGACGCGTCATCCTACCGCAGGCGCCAAAACCTCTTGACTCACACGAGATCGAGAAGAAGAAATCGGATGGCCGCTATATCGCTTATGCAACGAAGAAACTCGCCGTTATCCGAACGATAACGTCACGTTGATAGACAGAAAAGAGGATGTCCCTGGCTGTTCTTATAGCGCGACACTTTCAATTTGCCGTATGTTTTTCCAAGGGTTCGACTCCCGTCTTGCGCAAACACTCGACCAGGACACGTCGCCACCCTCCCCATTTCTCACCACCGGAGAGAGTTTCCGCCTACGAGGTTCCGAAACCGCTGAATCGCGCCGTATCCAGGTTCTCAAAATACCTTCGATCATCCGGACGTTCTACTTTTTTGCCATTTAAATTGATCCGACGCGTTGAAACGAATTGTCCGACAAAAACAAGAGGAATGTCGGAAGGAATATCTCGCGCAATCTTTTGTATCGTCAATTTTGTATTGACTAAAAAAAAAAAAAACAAGATACGTAAAATATTTAATTTTCTTTAACTGACTTAATTAATTCGCTTAACTCTCTGTAGTTTTAATCGTGTAAAACTACCCCGAAAACTTTATTCCATAAGTCTGCAACATTTTTCTCAACACACGTAGACGTCGCCGTAGCTTCTCGTTCGAAGCGTCAAAAAGTTCCAGTTTCTGTTCGTGAAATTTGTAAAAAAACAAATAATAGGACTTTGTTCGATCGTCGTGTATTTTCTCGAGCCGCGCGCAATGTCAAATTGATCATCTCCCCTACGTACGGACGACCGAGCGGTTAATTTTCATTTAAATGGAACGACAAGAGCGCGCGAGCAGAGCGCTGTAGGCATTCCGGCTACCAGAGAATTTCACCACCTCTCTTTCTCTCTCGCCCCCCGGGGCTACCTTTGCTCGCCGCAAAACCAAAAGATGCGAAACGCACTCTCGCAAAGTTCCGACGAAAGTTTAATTGTCTTTTGCTTGCGTTACGTTCTAACGGCGTTCCTCCATCCGGCGGCGGCGGCGGCGGCGGCAAGACGCGCCAGCATTGCGGCGCAGTATCTAAATCCATAATCCGCTCGATGAGATATGAATTTTTATAAATATCTTGCGTTTTTGTATAGAAGTTGCGAATAATAACATACGTAAAAATTTGCAAACAATCAACCCTGCTGATAAAAAGAAAATCTGCGTCGATCGCAGATTTTTACAGAAGATTCAGATCCCGAAAATTGTGTGTGTTCCTCTCTCTCCACATCCGCTTGCTTGCTCCCTCGCCATTTCCAAAATGAATTGCTCGGAAAACGAATTCCGCTCGCAACGCGGGCGCAAGATGATTTGTCTGTATCGATATGTTCGGCGCGTTGAGACCGGATTTACTTAACCGGCGTTAAATTTAATAAGATCGCCTCATGAAGCGAAGTTTGTTCGTAATCGGGATCAGCGTCGATTTTCGTCGCGGGAGCGTACACGGGGGATTTGCATATTTGTTATCGCCTGGGGGACGAAATCGATTAAACGGGCGGGATCTAAAATTAATTATTGAAATAATTATCGGTTTCCAACCGCGACACATAATGTCACGTTGTAACCTATAGAGTATGAGAGTATTCCATACGTGAGAATGTATTTAATCTTTTTTTTTTTTTACACACACACACACATCCCTTCTATTATTTTTCCACAAAATTTGAGAAATCACTTTTTCTTAAAAATTAATTACATCGAGATTATATATGCGATTTATTACTTTTTTAAAAATTAATTCGCAGTTTTTGCGTGTGATGATCAGATCGATTTTTAATTTTAATGTTATTCGAATCACCACACGCGTCACATTTTGCTCTTTAATTAACGCGCCGCAATTTTGTGAAGACCGCGCGTGGTGTGATAATTGCGAGCATTCTGTTTCGCTCAAACATTTCACTCAAACAACATGTCGCAACTTTACGCAACTTAAAGTTAGTTCCAGGACAGATATTATTCGAGAATATATATGGCGCTTTGTACTTTTGACTCAAATCGCCGTCGGCTGCAAATATTTTCCTTTAAAGTGCACCGTCGGCGCGATGTCGGGACGTGTTTGTGTGGGGAAAATTTTTCGGTACTTTTCAAAATAAACTACGCCTCTTGACCTATCTCACGCGCGAACGGATTCGGGACCGATATGAAACGTAGTCCCTCTAAGCGCTTCTTTTCTCTCCTTCTCGTCCAGAAACAATAAACTTCTTATTTCGGCGACCGGGTGTGGGTATGACGTTGTCGTCGTCATCCTCCGTTGTATATCAAAACATAGATGCACCAACGATGATGATTATCGTTGGGATGTCATCGTTGTTGGCCGCGATTCTTTCCGCGAAAGAAAGTACACGTGTGACGCACAAAGAAAAACGCTAAAAATAGCGTTGAAGCAATGTTATCGGTATTTTGTGCAAATATATAATTTGCGCGAGTCACGACGCGACGTTTATTGTCCCGCGCATATGTTTCACTCTCTCATCGTGGAATATATCCGCCGCTATATTGCTCGCGCGCTGCGTTTTTTCCTCTTATTTGATATTCGCGCGTTTCAATTATTTTCGCAAACTTTTTCTCCGTTGTTGTTGAAAAAAAAAAACGTAAATCTCGACGTGGGTTTCACGATCGAAAGCTTTTGTTTTTCAATTCTTATATTTTAATCATCATCATATATAAACAAAAAAAAGTGAATCATATCACATGATGTGTTTGCGCTCTTTAACGTCTGCGGATCCAAATTCTGAATAAAATAATTAAGTTGGCGTTACTGGAGAAACTTATTGTAATAATCTCTTCCGATATTTCGGATATTTGCGTGTTACAAATCAATCGTCGTCGAAATATCCAGGCGGATCCGAATGTCGAGACGAAATTTCTATTCATATTCTAATTCTATATATATATATAGAATTAGAATATGAATAGAAATTTCGTATATATATATATATATTCGGAAAGAAATCAATATGAATAGAATTAGAATATAAATATATATATATATATATATATATATATGTGTGTACACATATATTGCTTTCTTGTAATACCCACCCCCTCTTCACCCGCGCGCGATTTCTATTCGATACCGAAGCGCATATCTCGCGCGCGATCCGATTAACTCGAGGAAAACACTCGTACGTTCGGGATTCCGTATGTTTCTCGTCTCGGTCAACGGCGGCGATGTTTACATAGAGCCGTGAAATTTAATTCCCCGGGACCTTCGAACCCACGAACCCCCGAGTGTAAACCAATACTCCGAAACTCGTTCTCTCTCTCTCTCTCTCTATCTCTCTTTCTTTTTCTCTCTATCTCTTTCCGGCGATAGTAGAAAATGGCGCCGCGCTCTGGACGAAAAAGGACGAAGCATACGCAGCTATTTCCGCTTTAATTTCCAGAAAAATTCGATCCGTGTTTATCAAAAAAATTGTGTCCATCAGCTCTCTTTCCCAATTCGCCGCGTCCTTTCTCGAAAGGAAACTGTGCCAAATTTCGCAATTAGAGCCGCGTTTATAGCGCGGACGCGTTATCTCTCTTTCGACGCGTTCCTCTCTCGCGTTTTCGCGGCCGCCCGCACAAGCTTCCGCTTGTTTATCCGCGTGCCGCACCGCCGAATTTCTGCACCGTGTCTCACAAGCTAGATGCACACAACTCCGAGCGAGCGCCGCAGAGTTTACACGCGCTTCGCGAGTTTCCGCGCGCGCGCGCGCGCGCACACGCGGCGCGCACTATGCGCGATCCGCGCGCACATATAAAGATAACAAACACGAACGTTGCAGCGCCGTCTGCTGTTTCTCAAACCTCGCGAGAGAAAAGTTAATCCGGTCGCGACGCAACCGATTCCTTCGACCTCGCTGAAAATATTGTCTGCGCGAACGTGTTTTTTTCCCGTCT